AAGAGCTTCATGGAATGGGCTTCCATGGCCGAGCAGCTGGACTCTGGAGCAGTGACAATGTATTCTGTGGAGTAACAAATCACCCTTGGCAGTCTGATGGTTGAGTCTGGGTTTGGCGGATGCCAGGAGAACGTTACCTGCCTGACTGCATTGTGCCATCTGTAGAGTTTGGTGGAGGAGGGATAATGGTATGGGCTTGTTTTTCAGGGGTTGGGCTGGGCCCCTTAGTTCCAGTGAAGGGAACTCTTAATGCTTCAGCATACCAAGACAGTTTGAACAATTCTATGCTTCCAAATTTATGGGAGACGTTTGGGGAAGGCCCTTATCTGTTCCAGCATGACTATGCCCCAGTGCACAAAGCCAGGTCCATAAAGACATGGTTAAGTGAGTTTGATGTGGAAGAACTTGAATGGCCCTCACAGAACCCTGACCTCAACTCCATCCGACACCTTCGGGATGAACTAGAATGGAGATTGCGAGCCAGGCCTTCATATATAACGTCAGTGCCTGACTTCACAAATGCTCTTCTTGATGAATGGGCAAAAATTCTCACAGACACACACCATTAACTTGTGTAAAGCCACAAAGGGGAGACCAACTCCATTTTGATGCCTATGGATTTAAAATGGGATGTCATAAAGGTTCCTGTAGGTGTAACGGCCAGGTGTCTCAATTCTTTTGTCCCTATAGTGTATCATGTGTCTACAAGGATTTATTATGCATATCCAAGGTGACCGGGTAACAACTTGTGTTCAGATTTTGTTACTGACTACGCCACTTCTGCTAGAAGGTCAAATGGCCCTGCACAGAGATATTACGTAACTCTCTGTCACCAGACTAGCGCCATGTTTGTTTAGCAGGGACTAGCTGAGAAGACAGAAATGTGCCCCAAACACCTCAGCAAGTGGTTTGAGTGTTTGGACCACAATGTACCATGGTGGCCTTATACCAGCTTTCACTAACAGGCGGTCCGGGTCCGGACCCAGAAGCTGTCCCATACGGACCCGGACCGACAGCCAAAACATTTAGTTATTGTTTAAAACCTGACGGGGCGCTTTTATTTTAACCGGCGCAGCGTTTGTAGTCTTTTCGGTAGTGGTTTAGCAGTAGAACCGCCGTTTCCCAAGCCGATGAACGTCAAACGCCTTTGACCGCCAAGCAAGACGTATAGTTCGGCGTATGCAGCCAGCCAGCTGGCCGAAGTTCTACGTCACGTGACAATAAATAATGTCAAAACGTTTTTGAATTGTACTGAATTAATTTGATTTGACAGTCAGGTATTGATTACATACAATGTTGATGCAACTAATAGGCTACTTAAATATACTGTATATCACACTATTAAATAGTTAGACATTATGATCTTCCGGACCTTTGCTTCAAGAATTTTTC